CCTAGCTCGCGTAGACTCGCCGTGAGATGACTCCGATTATTCGTAACAACAGCATGCGTATCCTCGCGAAGCGCATGGTACGTATCAAGACGGGGATAGTATATGCTCTCCAACGTCTCGATATCTCCCAAGGCGGAGTTTTCGAGCGTGGTTATGGCGTCGAGGCGGGACAGTACCCAGGTCTTGTCTTTGCTGGAGAGCAGGGCGATGCGGTGGTGGAGGCGTTTTAGTTGTTCGGAAGCCATGTTTTGGTTTGCGAGTTGGGCAGTTAGGGTGGTGGTGTCGTCGTCGGCGATGGCTGATTCGTCGGGGTCGGCAGGGACAACTGGAGTCCATCGTGATACGCTTTCTTCGGCGATGCTAAAAGAGAGGTGGCGGGGCCACCAATCTTCGTTACGGGGGGCGCGGTAGATGTCGAATTGGTCGCTGGATTGGGTTCGACGGAGTAGAGGGGGGATTTGGTGCGCTTCATCGACAGGGAGGTTGCTGTTGAGGTCGATGCCATGGTACGTAGAGCCGGCGATGGAACTTGCGACTGTGGGTGGTTGGTCCGAAACGTCGCTCTCTGCTACGGAAGTACGCAGAGCCGATGGTTGCTGCCCGCTGTTGGACGTTCTTTTGATAGCCAAAGAAGTCGCAGATTCGCGCGGTGTCTCGGTGAGGGCTTTCGTGAAAGCTGCTTCGCTAGCATGCGAGTTTTGGGGCGACATGATCGAGTATGGATCGTTTGGATAGCCTTCATCATAATCCATGGATGTTCGCGGGTCATTCGTGTCTGCATACTGAGTAGGTGTAATGCCACTCTTTGTACGATGTAGCCCATGCCGGCCATGCTCTTCTCTCGTAAACTTGCTCGCATGTGTACGTAGGCCGACGGCGTGCTTAATGTGGTGGAACCCGCTGCCAGACTCTAGCTTTGCTTTGATGGCAGCCCGTTTCGAAAAGGGGTCCTTTGAACTTTCCTTCTCCATGCCGTCTGGAGTAAACGTATCGGCCTTCTTGAACTCTTCTGACCCAGTATCGCGTTTGATGATTTTCTGTTGTTCAAGCGTGGTTTCTCTTCGAATCGGCTTTATGGTGTGGTCGTGCTTGTCCGGTGAAGTCGAGTGTTCCTCTCCAGGCAGTCGGTCGAACATGGTGTCTCCAGATGTTGACTTGCGAGGTTTGCCATGCCACAGCCATTTAGCGTGTTCACCTCTTACAAGCTCAGCAAACTGGTCGATGTCGACGGTTTCCACTTCAGCAATTCCGTCCTTCTGTCCAGCTCCCACGATACCCATGACCATCTCGCCGCCCTTACCTCCCAGCTCAGCTACGGTGGATTTGAAGGCACGGGGGACGGCCCAACCCTCCTTACTAGCTGCCTTTGCCGAAGCTCTCCGCAACTTGTCTAACGTTTGGCGATCGAGCCGTCGAGTCCTCGGTAGATGTTGGGATTTCTGGAAATGTGCAATACCACGCTTAGTGGCCTCGATATCAAACACATCCTTTGCAACTGCAGCATTGCATGCACTCAGTCTATTACGGGCTCCCATCAACATGCCGAGAAGTGCGGCGACGGTTGTAGGGCCCAGGATACCATCGTGCGGCTCTACCGTGTAGTACTCGGCGCCAAACTCGATCCACCAGTCATTGATGGCTTTCTCTGTGATGTCGCAAAGCAACCCATCCGCATACTCGGGTTCCAGCTTGCCAAACAAAACTAGTGCGACCTGACAAAGCTTTACAAGCTCGATAACGGAAGCGTTGAAAGGTATCTTCTCGCTCGTCCGATACAACTGTTGGAATTTGGCTTGCGTCGCGCTGCTAGGCGGCGCAAGCTTGATGCCCAAACGACCGGAGCAGCCCAGCCGTTTCAAGTTCTCATTCACGAAAAATGGCTCCCGGTACTTCTTCATATCGCCTCCTGGAATGGGGATGACGGTCAACGAAGAGGGAAAGCCGCTCAGGTTGGTGATCATCAGGGCGCCATATGGCGTGTCCTTTCTCCGCGCATGGTACTCAGTCAGCGACGTGAAGTACAGGCGCATTTGAGGCGACCATTCCGTCTCGTCCTTGGGCACGCTTATGATTGTGGCTAGGACGGTATCTTCCGGGTTTCCAGTGTAGGTGGTGATAAGAAAGGTAGGATGGGTGCGCGAACATGCCCACTGCTCGACCAGGTATATCTCGTAGCCTTCGATCTTCTGACGGCGCGCAAGGACGTGGCAGGTGGTGGTGGGATCCTCTTCGATGTACCGTGCGGCCACCAGGTCGGTCAAGACGAAGCGCTGGTGACCCGTCGGCGATGTGGGAGACATGATCCTAGCCTCATCCGGCATTGTTTCCGCTGTCGGAGCCTTCGGAGCTGGTTGAGGGCGGGTTGGGGTTGTGTTCTTGTGTTCGATGGAGGTGATCTGAGGGATGGTCTGAAGGAGTGACATCTGCCTCCGCAGCTCCTTCTCCGTGTGCGTCCGCGACGGTGATGTAGGGAGCGGGAGCGCCATGGCTACGATTCCGGGCGGATCTCGGCGATATTATCCGTATACACAATTATCTGCTGTGAAAGCAAGCTCATGGTGAAACGACAGCCGCAGGTCACGCCAACTTCGTTAGCAGACCAGCTAGCGGAGGACAACACGGTATCAGAAGGTGAGGCTGATCGCAAGCCATGCATAACTGCAGTTCGAGGTCGAGGTCTAGGTTGAGGACAGGGAGAGGGAGAGGGATGCTCGATGCTGGATGCTCGATGCAGTAGTGTACGCGCGGAGGTCCGGCCGTTGTTCCTTCCCCACACGTCATGCCGCGGTAGAGACCCTGCAGCAATCGCGAGCTCGACGCCGACTCCAACACGCCAGGACGCCGGCCATGGACAGCAGCGGAGAGATATGCTTGACCTTCGCTCTGCCAGTCTTACTCCCCACAAACCCTCGTAACCATTGCTTTCACTCCACGCTTGACGCACGCGTGACTATCATCGCCGACGGCCATGGACGACCTCTTAGAGCAGGTCGAGCTGCTTGAGAGCAGCGCAAACCTCTCGACAAGCATCGGCGACGTGCAGAAGGCCATCGACATGCTCATGGCAGCGCGTGCTAAGATTGCGGCTGGTGCGTGCTCTTATCGCCATTGTGTTGATGCCTGCTAACCAGCACCCGGCCAGACCCGAAGACAGCGCCTGTGACGCTTGCGAAGCTCCAGGACGCTTTCAAGAAGACGCTCGAGACTGCACAGAAAGACCTGAAGCCCATCTACTCTGGCCTGAACAAGTATGGCAAGGCGCTGGACAAGGCAAGTCTCCCCAAACACGGATGGCATGTCCTAACAGCATACGTGCAGAAGTTCAAGGACAAACCACTGCCGTCCGCCGAGAACGACGCCCTCTCCTCACATCCCTCGCTCATAAACCGCGCCATCGCCATGCACCTCCTGCGCGAAGGCCAGTTCGGTGTGGCCTCCACCTTCATAGAGGAAGCGAACCGCCGGCCGCCGCATCCCGAACCCACGCCCAACACGCCGAATCCGTACATACGCGACTCGTGGGAGAAGGATATTGCAGAAGGAACGTTCAACTCGGAAAAGCTGCAGCAGCAGTTCGCCGACATGTACCACATACTGCACGAGTTGCGGGACGCGAGGAACCTCCAGCCAGCGATACAATGGGCGCGCCAACGAAGCGACGTCCTGGAAGCTCGAGGCAGTAATCTTGAGTTTGAGCTATGCCGCTTGCAGTTCATATGCCTCTTCGCCCAAGCCCAGGACGACGACATGGAGGACGAGAACCCCAGCGGCCCTCTACACGCCGTCGCATACGCACAGCGAGAACTCGCCCCATTCCAGAAGCGCTATGCGCGGGAGATCCAGCAACTCATCTGCGCAACCGTCTTCTGGCAGAACATTGAACACTCGCCTTATCAACGCCTCTTCTACAACGACTCCGCATGGGAAGAAGTAGCTCACTCGTTCAACCGCGAATTCTGCTCATTACTGGGCCTCAGTGCCGACTCCCCGCTCTTCATCGCAGCAACTGCTGGTGCGATAGCTCTACCCTACCTGCTGAAGATGCAGGCTATCATGAAAGAGAAGCGCACGGAATGGACAACGCAAGACGAACTCCCCGTCGAGATCCCGCTGCCGAGCCAGTACCACTTCCACTCCATCTTCGTCTGCCCCGTCAGCAAGGAGCAAACTACCGACGCCAACCCGCCCATGATGATGCCCTGCGGCCACGTCATTGCCCAAGAATCCCTCGATAAACTCAGCAAAGGCGGGCGGTTCAAGTGCCCCTACTGCCCCAACGAGAGTCAACCCAAAGATGCGAGGAAGGTTGTATTATAGGATCCCAACCGTCGCGTGGCTAAGAAGTCGGGGCTTTCCATCATCCGTGCAAGAATGAGTCGGCTGAACGCGACAGTCGCGAGCCTCAACAAGGAATTTCTCGAGACTCAGCATCATGGAGGCCTGCCTATGGTTGGGTTATATGCCCTCTCTGCGAGGTGCAGCGAGCAAATTTACGGGCTTGAACAGATCATGCATCGGTTGTCGTAAAGCTACGGTAAACAGTGACGGATTATTTGCTTAGGCGTTTTTGGCGACATTACTCTTATTCTGTTGGTTTATTGCTAGTTTTTAGCATGTTTACAGTTCTTGCGTCTCTACTATACGTATTACGATACGTTTCACCTGTCAATAAGTCAATATAGCATATCCCATCCCATCTCTTACGCGTTTCCCCACTCACTCGTGCACACACGAAAGAAAACGTCAACGCTACCCTCCGAAGTGCTCCAGGAATACCCATCATTCATCTAGATGAAGCGTAAGTGTTGCTTTTATATTTAACACGTATTTTCTAGTTCCCTTCCCTCCCCCCCTATCCCATCGAACCCCGTCCCAATCCCCAGCTCAACACCTCATCTCACACTAGTTTCCGCAGCGGCCAAAAGAAAAGAAAAGAAAAGAAAAGAAAAGAAAAGAAAAGAAAGGCGCAAAAATATAGCCATATGGCAAAAAAACACCTCTTCCAACTGCGAGGTTTGAACTCGTGTCTCTTGGGTGCTTTCATGTAAAAGGAGGATGAAAACCAGACATGCTAACCACTACACTCAATGGGATGGTCTCTTTTGTTTCCATGAGAGACTGCTACCTTTAGAGAGACATGTAGAGGGCTACGGGTGTTGAAGTAGAGGGTAGAGGGGGGGGTCGGTGAGAGAAGGGAGGGATGCAAACGCGGTGTGTAACGTAGGTGAGCAAGCATATGGTGCATAGGATAGATCAAACAG